AGATATGTCCACGTCCATGTAGCTGTCTTATTTCAGATTGTGCACTATTTTCTTAAGTTTGCTTTGACTCTATTTTTAATGCAAACTTCAATGCAATTTAGGCTCTTGAAACAAAATAGGCTAAAATACTTTTTTCTAATTATAGTTTTGAACTTGGCAGTTATTTTTCAATTAAATGAGAACACAATTCAAAGTTTTCTTTTTTTCCAGATGCTTACAAAATCTCCCTGGAGCTAGAAATGAACTCGTCATATTCGCCTGCTCCTTGAGATCTGAAGGAATTCAATTTCTTTTCTTGTGGTATATAAAATATAATTTTAAAGTCAATTACAAGAAGGAGTAATCTGCATTGTGCAAAATTGTCTGGTTTGCTAATTTGACTATAAGACATCTTTAATGATCGTCAGAAGATAAACTTTAACTGTAAACGGCTAAATATATTTATAAGAAAAGTGCTGCATCTCTTGACACATGAACATGGAGCATATCTAAATACAACATCAAAAGTTGTGTTAAAAGAAACCAAACCCATACAACACAGGGATTAAATGATGTGGAAGCTCATGCCAGCTGCAGTCTATGCATTATAGCCAAATTAGAAGGATCGGTAAATGCCGTTGTAAATTGTAATTTGTATGCAGTATTTAAGCAGAGGGTGGAGTTTGATGAAGAAATAAAACGACTATCATGCGTTTAAAATGGCACAACTATGAAAGCACGGTTCAGTCACAAACTTTCCTTTCAAAGTATAGGGGTGAAAACAAGGCCACAGCTCTGGAGGAGGCGGCCCCAGCTCCGTGAAGAAGAGAGGGAACCAGTGAACAGGCCAGAAGCCCCCCTTCCCCCTTAATTAGACCTACAAGTGCAATAAATCTCACTCCTTTTTCAAGCTAAGCTTCCAAAAGGATGATACAGCAATGAATCTATGGTTCAGGGTACTCTAGTCCCAGCCCTCCCCATTTTAAATAAAGAGTATGAAGAGGTGGAGGGGAAAGTGGAATGAAAAACAAACCAGAAACAGAGTTTTCTGGGGAAGATAAGCACCCCTTCCCAAGTTCATGCCAGTTCAACCCCAAGCATCCTCACGCACACGCAGGAAAGAGACACACACCAAGCACATCCAAGACAGAGGGAAAAGGGATTTTAAGTCACAGCTCACGATCCCAGGGACACAATCCTGAGCAAGCAGCGGGCGGGGTGGAAGAGCCGGGAGAGGAGCGCAGGCCGGGAGGGGGAGGCAGCGGCAGCGAGCTTGGTGTGTCTGTGGGGGACGCCGGGGGAGGAAGGCAGCGGGGACAGGGGAAACTGGAACGGGCCGGGACCGCAAGAGCCCCAGCACGGTACAGCAGCCACACCCGCGAGAGAAAAGAGAGAGGGCCGGGGAAGCGGGCGAAGCTCAGGGAGAGTAGCAGAGAAGAAATATTCACCTTCCCGCCTCATGCCCACTTTGAGGCACTTCTTGAGGCGGCAGTATTGGCACTGGTTGCGGTGGTGCTGGTCGATGGGACAGTTCCTGTTGGCACGGCATGTGTAAGTTAAGTTCCTGCGGACGCTCCTCTTGAAGAAACTTTTGCAGCCCTCGCAGGTGAATTGGCCGTAGTGCTTGCCGCTTGACTTGTCCCCGCACACTACGCACTCGATGTGCTGCTGGCTCTGGCCCGAGCCGGGCGGGCCCTGGCCCTTGTCCCCTGCCGTGCCGGGGGTGGCGGGCGCTCCGGGCTGGCCCGGGGTCTGCGGCGTGTGCGGCGCGCCAGAGCCCGCCTGCTGCTGCTGCTCGCCGGCGCCGCCGCCGCCGCCGCGGGCCGCCTGCGCTGCGGGATTGGGGCCGCCGGGGTTGCCCCCGGCCACGTCGTCCTGCGGATCTCGCCAGCTGCTAACTACCATTGCCATATCTTTGGGCCCGGGGAGCGCTGGGGGGAGCCGAGCTGCACGCCGAGGGCCGCGGGGCGCGCGGGCGCGCTGGGAGGGGAAGGGGAAGGGGAAGGGGGGAGGGGGAGGGGAAGGGGGGCCCGCCGGGCGCCCCGGGGTCGCGGGAGCCGAACCCGAGCCGGGCACCGGCCGCTGCCGCCGCCGCCGCCGCCGCTGCCGCCGCTACTGCCTCGGCCGCCCCGCTGCTGCTGCGCGCCCGCCCGCCCTGCTGGCGTTTTGTTGTGGTTCCTGCTGTTTTCTTTCTCTCTTTTTGCAGCCCCCCCAGGCTCTCAGGCTCCCCCCCAACACCCCTGCTCCCCTCGCCCGCTCCCCCCGCGCTCCGATCCTGGGGGGGCCACGCTCTCCTTCCCCCCCTCCCCCCCCCCCCCCAATCGAGCAAGCTCCCTTCTCTCGCTTTTTTCTTCTTCCCCAAGTTGCAAAATCAGAAATGGCACAGGCGGCAGCCGGGAGCGGCGCGGGGCGCAGCGCCGGGGGCGGCGGGCATGGGCCACGGCGCGCGCACACACTCGCCCTCCGCCTCGCCCGCACCCCCGCGCACACACACACTCGCACACACACTCGCTCACCCGCGCCGGGCGCCCGCCTGCCCGCCGGCCGCTCAGGCTACGCGCTGCGCGCCGACTGAGCAGACATAGGAAGCCGGCTAGGGCGGCGGCGGCGGCGGCGGAGGAGGTCGCGGCTGCCCGCGCCGCTGGAGCCTCCGCCTCAGCTAGAGCGGCGAGCGGCGCTGGAGGAGCCGGGGCCCGAGCCGGAGTCCGGGCCGGAGTCGGGGCCGCTGCCGAAGCGCGAGCCCGGATCGGGGCCGCCCGCGCCGCCGCCGCTGTCCCGGCGGGAGCCCTAGCTGGGCTCGGGATTGAGGGGAGCGCGGTAAGCCGAGCAGGGCGCGGGGCGAGGCTGCTGGCGGCGATCAGGGCGCGCTGGTGTCGGGGGGCCAGGTCCAGGGCCGGACGCAGCCAGCCATTCAGGAAGGCAGCGCCGGAGAGCGGGAGGCGGCCGGCGAGGAGAGTCACACACTTTGCTCTTTTTGTTGTGCCGGTGGCGCCGGGCTCTCGCTGCCTTCTTCTTTCGGGAGGTGAAGGAAGGAGAGAAAAATACGAGATAATTCACGCCGGCGACGAATTCACAGCGAAATAGAAAAAATAAAAATCAGAAGAAAAAGACTTGCAAAAAAAAAAAAAAAACAACAACAAAAAACGAGAAAGACATCCAAAGTAGGTCGAATAAATAATCCTCTTCTTTTCCTCTTTCTTGCTCCTTCTTCTGATTCTTCTGCTATAACACACAGAGCTAGTTAAAAAAACCCTGGAGATCGCCCAAAAATGTTCTTTTTTTAGTATTTTAAATAAGTGCTCTTCAGCCGGGAACCAACACCCTCCCTCCAAAAAAAATCGTATATGTATAAAATAACGATAAGAAGAATACGAAGGGGGTGCCTCCTCCTCTTTTTTTTTTTTTTTTAAGTTTAGACCTCTCCTGCAGTAGTGGAGTAAAAGAGACGAGGAGGGAGAAAAGGGAGAGAAAGAAGAAGAATACGAAGAAACAACTAATAGAATACGTTAGAAAAGAGAAAGGGGAGAAGGGGAGAGAAGAGAGATTGAGAGAGGCGAGGAGGAAAAAGAGAGGAAGAGAGGAAGAGAGACAGAGAGGGGGGGGGAGAGGAGAGAGAGAGACAGAGAGGGAGAGAGAAAGAGAGACCCCAAAATTGAATGCGTTTAAACGGGCGCACTCGCAGAGCAATGTTTCCGAAAGGGGGATCTGCGCGAATGTCTGTATATAGTGAACTTTGACACTACTATTGAAACTGACACGTTTCTATGGAGATCGCTGCCTTATATGGAGCTCGTGTCAAGGAGCCAAGAGAAGGGCTGCTGGCAACTGATAATCAAAGGCGACTGACTGGTCAGAGCCCTGAATCGAGGGGGAGAGAAAATGGGAGGCTAAGGTTAGGCAAGCCTCCTGCACGCCATTGGTTGGAGAGCCCCTCCCCCTCCTCTTTTTCTTTCTTTCTTTTTTTTTTCCCCCTCCCTCTCAGCTACCTACTGACGGGGATGGCGAGGGGAGGGGAAGAGAAAGTGAGGGGTGGGGGGCGTGTTTCTGACAAGCGCAATTTACATTGAGATCGCCCTGCGCTGCTATTTACTCTGAGACCTGATTAGTATGGGTCGTCTATGGTCTCTCTCTCTCTCTCTCTCTCTCTCTCTCTCTCTCTCTCTCTCTCTCTCTCTCTCTCACACACACACACACACACACACACACACGAACACTAGAGGGGGAAGGGATGGTGAGGGGGAGAATGCTTTGCAATGGGTTAAAAGAATTAGAGGGAAATTATTTTCACTTCTTTTGAAGTTTTTAAAATTAGGTTTTACCAGCGTGAAGAGAGTGTCATTGACAATGTTAGGAAAATTTTTAACGGGAATTAAACTCTCATCATTTTAATAATTGGTGAAATATACTGGGTTTGGATTGTTTTCTTCTTTCACATATAAACATAATCCAAGTGTGGATTCCTATTCATTTTCTATCCTTTTAAGAAACAAGGTAGGGGATTCCCTATTTTTTTGGTCCAAAGTATATCTTGGTTTAAAGGTTTAATGACAACAAAACACACTCGTGGAATTGGCAGCTATTACCACAAAATTAATCCAAATCAACGTTCCTATTCATCCCAAAGATAATTTAAAAATTAAACTTTCCAATTAATCCGTTTTTCCTTCTTTCCTACCCCCCCCCCCCC